TTCAGGCGAGATCTGAAATCTAGGTGTGACCTACGCCTAAATTCGAATTGTTTATGGTGATACTAACACTCACTTCTATAAATATTACAGTTTTACAGATATGCGTTTCCCAATTTCATTAAACAAATCCTAAATTGATATGCTTTATACATAGAGCCATTCAACTTCGGATTTTTTTGATTGAGCTTTTCTTTTTCCTAGTTTATTTACAATTTAATTACAGGCAGCTGGAAAATAAGGTGGCATGCTCCACTTTGTTCACTCACTAATTTGTGGTTGAAAACTTTTTGGATGACCAATGAGCATAAATCTTGATCTCGCTTTTTGTTCGCTCTTTTCCTTTTGTCTTTATTTATTAGTGGGAATGTAAGATAAAAACTATATCTACTTCAATTACTAATTCATTCTAATTCATTTATTATTATTTTTTTTTCACATGCGCAAGTGATGATTTGGCTTAGAGATGTCCCGTTGTGTATTAACTAGTGCACGGCATGCAAACGTTTCTATTCTTGTCTTGGATTCACAATTAAACCAATGAATCCTTAGAGTTGGCATAATTTTTATATATCGTGTAGTCTCTCTTGACTCCACTCGATTTTTTTTTTATTTTTTTTTTGTTTTTTGGATTGTCTCTTTCCTTTCACGTTGAAATAGAATCTTAATTTAGTACTTGTTATTAGGTAGTTACTAGATGAGATTTTACGTCAAAAATTATTTTCAGGCAAGAACTAAGTTTTTTTTTTTTTTCAAAACAAAGACAGAAAAAATCACCCTTTATCATGATCATTAAAAATATTAATATAAAAAGATTTTATTTAGAATGAAAAAGGATTTCATCCTATCTATTCATATATCCAATCTATTCATGTAAGTGTTTAAAAATTGTATCATAATGTTATGTTCGATCAATTCTATTGGAAATTAGAAAATTATTACTGCTTCTNAAAATTATATTAAAACTTCAAAAAAGAGTACATAGGAGATGTCAATGACATCACTAGAATCAGAGCAAAGTCTGGATCCACCTCGCCATTGGAATTACGGAATTACACAATGAATCAAGGGGAGTAACAAGAACATTTGAAATACTCCTACAGAAAGAGACCCAAAACAATTCCAAAAAGGAGGCTAACAAATGAGACACTGTTGGACCGAAACTAACAAACTGAAGAAAAATAAGAAAATACTACAAAACACACCTACACTAATAATAGAATATCACCTCCCTTATATCTCACTAACACACTGCTATAGCCATCCAAACCAGCACATGGGCCAAACCCCACAACGATCCAACCCCCTGAACGAGAAACTAAAAGAAAGCAGCAAATCAGAGGACCGAGGACTAAAAACTGCAAACTTACTCAAGTTTCTAGTCACATCTGACGAGGAGACGGGTCTCAGTCCAGATCTGAACTCCCGCAACCTTCAGTCGGGATAGAAACTGTTAGAAGTTAATGAAGTTCATGAGATTAATCAAGTTGACCAAAGCCATAAAACTGATCCTTCTCAGTTTAGCTGCATGAGTCCAACGTGCTCTTTTTTCATGTTGCATGAGTCACATAATGAGGCCACATTTGACAGCTATCTTCACGATTCAACCTACACCATTGGATGAGCATTTTTTTTTACTTTTATCTTGTGTGATAGGATTGTGACAAGTGTCCACATTCTAGTTCCTTTTTTAGCTAGTATATATACTCTATGTTAGCTAGTAGGGTTGGTTATGGTTTTTATTAATTGTAGCCGCCTTTGTACTACACTCGATCGAGCAATGAATATTTTCACTCTGATTTCTTATTTTCAGCATTTTCATGATTTCATTACACCATGCTTTTTATCATGGTATTAGAGCAAGTGCTCATGCCTGTGCCTGATCAATTGATTTTTCAATCTCCTTTGTTTTTAGTTTATCTCTAAAAAAAAATGTCTGAAGGATCATCGACCATGAAGTTCATGCAGTTCGAACTCTATGCAGTCGATTTCTTCAAACAACCAGCTTGTCACTGTTAAACTTGATGACATCAATTATCTCATTTGGAAACAACAAGTAGAAATGGCCATCAAAGGATATATCTTGAGGGCTTTATTGATGGAAGTATCCAAGCACCTCAGAGGATTTTAGTAGCTCAAGAACATGGCCAGTTTGTTCAAAATCCAGAATTTACCACTTGGCAAAGACAAGATCATCTCTTGGCATCTTGGATCCTCTCATCTTTAGGTAATAGCATACTCCTCTTATGGTTGGTTTGAGCTCCTCCAAAGACATTTGGACAACCTTGCAAAAGAATTTCATCAACCAATCACTTGCTAGTCATGCAGTATAAGATGGAGTTGCAAGGTCTTAAGAAAGGATCCTTGACCATGAAGGAATATAAAAGTAAGATGAAGACTGTCTTTGATGCTCTACCTGCAGCTGGTCACCTTGTCTCTGACAAGGACCAGATACTGCACCTCAATGGTGGACTTGAACAAGAGTATAATCCTATTATGGTGACTGTTTCATCAAGATTTGAGCCATGGACCATCACTGATATTCAAGCTCTCCTTCTCAGTTTTGAATCCAGACTCGAAGCACTTGGCTTTAATGCGCCCTTTGTCAATAATGATGGATCTTACCCTATGGCTAATGCTGCTGTGACTCAAAATTTTTCTAGAGGAGGTTTTCAAGGGTTTCAAAACTCTCGAGGAAGAGCTCCCTTCAATCAGAATTTCAAAGGAAGAGGTGGAAGAGGTCCAACATAGGAAGAGGAGGAAGATCTTCAAAATCCAAAATTCAGTGTCAAGTTTGTGGTGTGAATGACCACTCAGCTGAAAGGTGTTGGTACATGTATGATAGTGGCTACATATTTCATAAACAGTAGTCATACAAAGGTTATAATGATTTATATATGATTGATGTTATAATTTGAATAGTAAAACGGATAGCTAATTTATATATGGAGAAGAATATCAAAATTGTTAGGAAAAAATCTAGGCCCGGTTTCCTCTTAATTTTAGATAATAGTTGTATTTGTTTATGAATGTAAATAGTGACTTAAATATGTTTACGATAAGAAAAATTGAAACTCGAATTAAATCACAGAAAAAAATTGTTTAAAATTTTCTTAATATCAATGATTTTTGTAATTACAGCTTACGAGTAAAATTCATGAAAATAAAAAGTATCGGATTATTAAAATATAATTAAGAAATGAGTGATGTAAGCCGTCAATGAAAAATAATTTTTTGGCTATTAGCCAAAAAAAAATATTTTACATGAAATTTGTAATATCTCTAGGTCCAATTTCAACTAATTGTAGTAAATTTTTTTGACTAATTATATACACATATGATTTATAAAAACATTATCTTACAATAATGTATGATTTTTAATATTTTGTATTTTTGTTATTATCATGATGAGATGTTTAAATATAAATGATTATACTTAAAATAATATTATAAAATAAATTAAAAAGCAAATCCAATCCGTACATTGTATAGAACACGCACTAGTATATAAAAAATTATAAATACAGATATATTCATATGCGTTCAGATGAGAAACCGGACGAAGTTGACCAGTTCTGGTCATGACTCATGATCACGAATTTGGAATACTGGATTTAAAAAGGGTGGGCCACTCATTGTCAAATATAGGAAAAGTTTAGTGGGCCACTCATTGTTTAGTGGGCCCATACTCGAAACGATTGAACCCATCGATAGGAAAAGCCCAACGAGACCCTCTACTTGAATGGTTATGCACACACGTAACCAAATTTTGATAAGATGCATCACCTTTTTCCACTTTTGTTTAATTAGTTGATTTTACAAAAAGAGAAAGATACCTCCTCGATCATCAGATATGCTTTTCCTTGAAAACAAAAAGAATTGTGATTAAATAATTTGGCACAATTGAATGGGAAAAGAATTGTTCGTTGCAATATCTTTGTTTTTCTGAAGTCAAAACCATCAGTGTTACTTTATATCGGACAGTTTGTAAAATAGTTTCAAAGAAAAGAAAATCTATCTAGTCTTAGGAAAATGTCCGTTTCGATACCATACAGTATGAGGTTGTGAATCCAAGTTTTTCAATTGGATGGAGTTTAACAATCAAGTCAATAAATATTTTTACCAATATTGGAAACTCTAAGGGCTTTTTCAATTTCTTTTCTTTTTTTTTTTTACTTTTTTTGCTAGGTTCATGTTTTGAAAGTCTTCTGTTGAGGAGTGGCCGGGCCGGGCTTCCAATTGGGGAGTGTTGTATTTTGTGGTGATAGAGCGTATCTCTTATGTGGAATCGATGTTCACCTTTTTATTTAAGTTTGTTTTAAATATACGTGTTATTTGTATTGGTAATGGATATATTCGACTGTAATTTGTGCTTTGAAAATAAATAAAATCCTGTCACCTTTTTTAAGAAAGATTGACCTTATATATGTTCAATTTAAAATTCCCAAGAAAGTGAGTAGTTTATTATAGCTGACAAATTTTGACTTTGATTGGGGGTAACTGGATATAAATATTTTTTGTTTTCATTTTATTTACTGGATAAATTTAGTTAATTTAAAAAAAAAAATGATTTAGTTGAAATTTGAATGGAATTTTGAGTATGTTTAAATAATATTTAAAATGTGTAGAGAGAGATTGTTAAAAATGATAAATAGTTAAAATTATGTGAGTGAACGAATATTAAAATTAAATTATATTGAGAAGAATTAAAAATTGAATTAAATTTGAATTAAAAAATTACAAAAAAAATTATTCAATCAATTAAAACCGCTGATTTCTGTATCCAATAAGCCCCCTGTATTTACCCGCCTAAGTAACAATTTTTATGTTAATAATACAATTAACTTAATTGTTAATATGAGCATAATAAATCAACTTAGATCTAGAAACAAGCACAGCACTACAAACGTTTTTTTAATTATGTGCGTCCATCATTTATCAAGCATGTCAGGAGCTCATTCCCTGAAAGTAAGCTATTTTTCCCCGAGTTTAGAGTTCAGGTGTCATCTCACATTTGGGAAAAGTCCTAAAGCATTCCTGTAAATTTCAGGTGTCATCTCACATTTGAGAAAAGTCCTAAAGCGTTCCACAGCAACTTTGCTAAAATTTCAGGTGCTATCTCACATTTCAGAAAGTGCTATAGCATTTCATACCCTCAACTTCTAACGACAGGCGTTCGTTCAAGTACAATAATGTAATTACCTAACATTCGAACACAATCCTGAGTGGAACTAGTTGCATATCTTCACCCAATTTTGTTACATTCTTTAGCAATTCCTGTCAAAGTTCTCTACCGAACAATTGTTCTTGATTTACAATACAAAACCGCCCAAAAAAATGGGTTAGTCAAGGGGAGTTTATAGTAAGCATCTATACAATTCCTCAACCTCTCCTCAAATTTAAATTTTCCATATATATTTTTTTTTTTTTTTTTTTAATTTTTTTTTTTTTTTTTTGTTTGTGTGTGTGTGTATATGTATGACATGAGTGAATGAACATGTCCAGTTACCTTCTCTCACCCGAAGCTTTAATTTCAAAATCATCCTCGTCATCTTCACCATCACTGTAACGGCCACGATCATGTGAGGGGCGTTTCAGTCTCTGAAATATCTCGTCCAAAGACTCAGAGGACGACACGCGGGACAGCATTTGTGTTTCTTGAATTTGGTGAAGGGGTAAAAATCTCTTGGCCTCGATGTTTGCTTTTAAAGATTGAAAACCCTGCTTCATGGAGGCCCATTTTGAGGCCATGGCCGAGTGGGCCCCACTGCTACTGCTGTTGCTAGGGTTTGAGGGTTCGGAGCTTTTGAGCAGCGAGACTTTTGCAGAGGAGATGCTCTCTGTCAGTTTTGTGTTGTTGTTATGTGGTGACGACTTGTTTTGTTCTCTAATGGCGGTGTATTTGTTGCTTATGGCTTCTTTGCTCCCAGAATATCTTGACGAGCTTCCCTTTGTGTCCTCCTTCATCTTCGTCTGGATTCTAGTGTCCTGGAATATTAATAGATAATTAACATTTTTCCTAATAAAATTGGGACTAACAAGAAAGGGTGGACATGAGATTAACAGATCTTTCAAGAGAGATTGATTTTAAATGTAATTAAAAAAATTCAAATATACCTAAAAAAAAAAATCAACAAAAGAGTAAATTGTAATTTTAGTCTTGTATGTTTCACTATCCTAACTTTTTCGTCCTTTTCGAATTGCGTTTTTTATTTTCGTCCCGTATGTTTGCAAAAAGGTTACAAAAAGATCATTTTTGCAACAAAAAGGTCCTTTATGTTTTTGCAAAAAAAGGTTCGAATTTCATCCCTTATGTATGAAAAGGACCTTTTTGTAACCTTTTTGCAACATACGGGACAAAAGTAAAAAATGCAATCGAAGAGGACGAACAAGTTAGGGTAGTGAAACATACAGGACTAAAATTGCAATTTACTCTTAGAAAAAAAGTTCAAATGCGTCACAAACGTCCCTTCTTAAGGGGTTTCGGAAAGATGAACAAATGGAAAAGGGATCTTTGGAATGTTAAAACATGACTGGATTTCTTTATAATAAGTTTAAACCTACGGGTAGCCCTGTGATTTAACACTAAATAAAAAAACCTCTAGAGTAAATATCGTAAGTTGTGAAAGTTAGCAGACTTTCCTTGTAATTAGGTCTGTCGAGGGTAGCTTTTGTAAGTATAAAAAAGAAAAGAAGCAAATTTGGTAAGGAAGATTACATACGTTGCTATTAACACCCGACTCAAGATCCAAGCTCACATCATTGAAGTTTCGAGCCAATGGAATAACATGCTCACCAACTTTGTGTCCTTGTTCCAACCACGTCCTTTCTGTGAAAATACACATGATCAACAGACCATAATATCACTCTTGCTTAAATTAAATGAAGCTGGAACTTTTATTTTATATATGTATATATGAAATATATATGTAGTAGAAAAATGCAGATAATTTAGACACCTTTCTGCAGTATAAGCAAACCAGATGGATCGAACCCATCCATGTCATCTGATTCCGTCTTAAAAATCTTCCAATTGCCAAAAAAGCTGATGATCCTATCAAAGAAATTGCTTGCCACCAAAATGGTATATATGACCATGATAAGAGGATAAATGCTGTTAAACCCGTCGCCAAAGAAAGGTACAGCTTTATCAATGTTTCCCATGCGCTGCATTCATATTTTATATTAAATCAAAAATCATGAGAAGGAAATACCAGAGAAGAAAAAACATAGGCACCAAATTATTTTCTACATGAACAGATTCAGATTGCGAATCATGCAAATAAATTGCACGCTGTAAAAAAAATTTGCTTTCCCCCTCTCACACACATAAACACCAGAAAAAAAATATATATATGAAAAAAAAAGTATGAACAAAGAAAACAGATCATGTGGTATATAGCTTGTTTATGATGTTTTCCATTTTTATCCATCCCAATTATATGGCGTATTTCTTTTTTAGGGCAACAACTTCAATTGGGATTTCCAAAGCCTTTTTCAGACTTTAGAAATCCTGGTGTATTTACTTTTTAAGATTTTTAAAAGTCCTGGAGTATTCATTTGATATTTTAATTAGTCTTACAAAATCTTGAGGTATTTAACTTATTTGAGACTAGGATTTGTTAAGACTTTTTAAGATTTGCTGAAATTTCTAAAGAAAAAACCTTATACAAAATCCCACCTCCAAGCTTAAGATTTCACAGAATTTCTCCAAAATCTGAAAGTCTTAAAAAGTCTCAAAATGTCACTCAAAATCCCAAACGACTACACCCCCTTTACTTTGTTTTTTTTGTTTTGACTCACATTGTTTTTAGTTGTTCATTCAGTTGGAATACTAAAATTTATACAGACATTACCTTCATTGCAAGGACAACAAAGGGGCAATGGCAAAAAAAAGATACACAATCACAAGTACATCTATTATGGCTTCTTAATTGTGCGGAAGGGAGTACATTTCTATATATATATATATATATATAAGGGATTCATCTATTGACATATTGTGGTACTTGTGCAAACCCAGATGCCGTTACACATTACAAACTAGTGCAGGTCATGTAAATTGAACTGTGGTCGCATTAACCGAAGATAGGCAGAAATATAACTAAACCTTTAACAATAATATTAATGGAGTGCCAAAAAACAAATATACCAGTAACACATGGATGATTTTATTGGAATTGTTATATATATGATGGTTCACCTGCTCAAAAATAGTCTTCTTGCCATCACCAAGACTAATGAGATTCAGAAAATTATATGAAATTGGAGGAGCATAACGAGCAACCATCCTGTCAGGAAAATTAATAAAATTTATTAAATACAGGAAACACTATGTTGCGATTGGATATAATAAATTGTCAAAAAAATTCTCTTTTGATGGAAAAGTAGAAAATCGTTTTAGAAAAAATGAGATAGATTTGAGATTGTAAATAGATATAAGATAAAAATGTAATTATAAAAGTTGATGTGATAAAAAATAAAAGATTGATTGATAAGATTCTTAGTTACTAGTTCGAAATATGTGATTGAATAAATAGTGTTTTTTTATCTGAAATAATAATAATAATAATTACTTTTTATTTTTTAATTATGTTAGTGGAATTTTTGAGAAAAATGTGATGAGATGAAATGAATAATAGTTTTTGTAAAACAAATTGTTTCATTTTCAGTATCAATGAGATAAGAAAAATGCTACAAGTACATAATAAATGTACATAGAGGTGTACATAACACTCACATGGAGTGGGGTCCACTTGATTTTTTATTTTTTGTCGGTCCCACTCAATGTGAGTATTATGTACACCCCTATGTACAATATTATGTACCTATATTCATGAGATAAATCTCGACTGAATGGAGAAAAAAATGAAAAGATTTTGTATCCAATCACTAAATTCCCTAATGAATTATGCAACCAAAACAAAAATGAAACATACGAGCATATCATAAGCAAGCTGACGGCACTTGTCTGTTTTGGTGTCAATGAATAAAACATCATCCTTCCAACTTTGAAGAGTGAGTAATATGTGCAAACACACATGAACATCAGAGGAACAAATGCAATGACCTGGATACCATAAGCAAATAATGTTAATACCCAATGATATGTCTATAATCTATATATAGGAACAATGATTATAACTAATAATATAATATAAGCATTTATAGTCTGAGTTCATACCTGCACCAGAACCTCTTCAGGTCCTACAGATTTTATGAGGATAGAAAATAAAGATAAATCAACCCCATTGGTCAGCAAAGTAGCCTCAGCCAGGAGAATTGCAACTGACATGCAGCCAAGAATGACGGCCAAGATTTTTTCCAATTGCTTTTGCAAGATACNCTAATGAAGTACAAGTTGGTCCATACAAGAAGCAATACATCTCAGACATTACTTTTCTCTAAAGCAGAATATGCACATCAATTAAAAGTTCAAATTTGCATGTCATGAACAACACAGGCTCCGGTTATTTATTTATTAAATTTTGCTCCAATTTGGAGAAATTGGAAACTTGGAGTAGATTTATCAATATTCTGACTAAATGGATGTGACGAGTGACAAATTATTACCAGCCATGTCAAGGAACTGCCCAAGTTTACCAGTGCGTTCAGGTCGGAAGCTTGAGATAAACTTCCTGCATTACAATATAACAGTCCAAAAGATAACTTATACAAGAAGTAAAGAAAACCTAGAACATTACTTTATTGCAAAATTAGGAAATACACAAAGCCAACCTTGGGCTACAATAAGAAATAAAAATTAGCACGGGTAGCATTTGCTGCTACCTTAAAAAATATTGTCCATCTATAGTGCTTTTCTCGTTGTACCAACAGAGATGAAAACCATGCAAATATTTTTAAATTAGATTAGCTATTATACTGAAACAATATATGTTCTGTCCCAATGGAGTGTTCAAGTAGAACTTTCACAACAATCAGGTTGGATGTTACCAGGCAATCATTTGAACTATGGTTATTGTGTGTCCTGAAGTATACAGTTCGTAATATTGCAGAAACATAGTCGTCAGGGAATGCTCTTTTAATAAATCATGTCGAGGAAGACATAAAAAAGTTAATCATGTGACATTATTATTCAAATGAGAAACTAGTTGAAGAAGAAACTCATGTTGTCATTATAAAGAGTAAGGGGAAGTGCACACCATCCAGTCATACTGCGTCTTTCATAATTCTTTATTGTATCTTCTAATTCAAGAGCCTCTTTGACATAAATCAGGTACTCGCTGCAAAACAACCAACACAAAGGATCTAGAACATGTTAGCAAGTTACTTTTAAACACTATGCATTTTAACACTAAGACAGAAGACAGTCACTTTAGGCATCAAAATTATCCAGGAGGCATCAACATGGGGAAACCAATGACATGCAAAATATGTCCAGACAGATGTACATATGAAATGCTATCTCTGCCCCAGAAGAATCACTCATGTTTCTGACAGGACATCCTAGAATAAGGTTTGATTTCCAAAATTGGTTATTGTGTTTTCTACGTTCTAGGTTACAGAGACAACAATTTCACCTTTCAACTTAACTAAAACTCGAAAAAGACTTACATGAAAACTTCTATTTTGAAATAATTTGTAAAACAATTAAACTAGCTGACATTATTAAGAAACTTGACAGGGCTAGAAAAATTTACAATAACAGTATGACCAGAAAAAAATTGCAAAAGGGAGAAGATGGGGTGAAACAAATCGGAGCATAAAGAATTAGCTGACAATTTTACAGCACCATAAGCATGTCGAACTAAATTATATATTAACTTGCAAATACTAGCAGTACCTTTTGCATCGATAATACTCCTCACGAGCTCCCCGAAGGTGACGCCTTAGTGTTGCCATTGATTTCTCATCTGTATCATAGTCCATGTCATTTTCTCCCAACCTCCCCCCTTGTGGCTTGAAGGAAGGATCTTCTTTCAACTGGAGATAGAAAATCAAAGTAAAATTTCCTATGACATAATAAAATAAAACTACATAATCATCATGTGAAACTGTACAAGAAAGAAGTACCATTTGCACTAACATGTTGTCAATGACATCCATGTGTGGCCTTAGTGGATCTAGTTTGGTCATCTGTTTTGATGTAGCTTGGGCAACCTTTTAATCCCAATTTAACAAAACATGAGGGATTAGAAATAAAGATAATTCAGATGACAAGCAAGATATTTTTCTACTATCGAGGTGCGTTTTGAGCGACAGCAGTAATTATATGTGATCCATGAATTTGATGTTGTGCAAGTTTGTTGGATTAGCCAATTAGCCTAGTATTTCGAGCTTTTTTTTTTTACGTAATCAAATGAAGAACAATAATACAATTTGGATATTGCAGCAATTCTACAAACATCCAGTACTAACATACATTGAGTGCATATAAGTTGAGAGCCAACTGTCCTTGAACATTATGTTCACATGAGATCTCAGATCAAGTTAAATGCAGTTCTTCCTAAACTAATTGTTTTGCGTTGTTCACTTGTGAGACAGCTCTACTCCAGGATTCTTAATGAGCTTGACTTTGACTGGGTGATTACTCGGTCATGTTCGACCACGTTACGTTGATCGAGTAAGTTTGTTGGATGCTCAGAACGATTTTATGGAACATGACTGTCTCTTACTGTATGTTGGCCAGTATGCTTCGGAAGTAACAAAAGAAACTTTAACAATAATAAAAAAAAAAGTTTATAATGATGGCATAGAATTAAGTTTTTGGATAGCTGCATGGTTGACTAAAAACTTTGAAATAATATTAAATAAATATTTGTTTCTTTCTAAAACATAGTTATCACAGTTCTCAGAGAAACTAACCACAATGGCATTTGACAATTCTTTGTGAGCATCATCAAGTTTCAAAGCCACTTTGGCTATCTTGTGGGAAAGAACTTTATGTCGAATTGTCCAGTCAGCATTTCTCCAAATACCTTTAGGAATCTCACTCAAACCAAAACCAAGAAGAAATGCACCAGTCACAAGTCCAAATGTATTTGAGCAAGCCATTGCCCACCCCAATATGCCTCTACTCCCAATCCTGCCGGTGAACAGAAATATTTAAATGGATATCAAGTCATCAACAAGTCATGTTCAGATATCAGTGAAGCTATGCTTTCTCAGCATCATGCTAAGTAGAGTAGCAAGCCCAAATTGGCAGTTACCAAGAAATAGTATTTAGTTACATACACACACTGAAAACCAGTTGCGTAATATCATAATGAGACTCTTGAGCTCAATGGTCATTAAAACATGTTTCGCTAATATGCTGTTACTCTTAAATTCTTAGGAAAAACTAATAAACACATTATAACTTTGGTCATGCCTTACATGTCACAACTTCAAACGAACATTTTTGGTTTTTCAGTAAAGGTAGTACACTGTTGGAAAGAATGACAATAAAGATACTGCTAAATACCACGTATTAACAGCTCAACATAATCTGCAATTCTACACCAAAGTTTTCAACTCACCAAAATTAAAGTGTATCTAACAGTTTGATGTAAAAAATCTACAAAACTCATTTCAAGTTTCACCACTTAGGCATGCCTAACACTAGTAAAAATGGTTAATAACATATCATGAATTCAGTCTTGAAATAGATTATATCACTTTACTTACAATTTAATTTATTAATTTAACTCAATTCATGTTTCAGTGAATTTGCTTTATGAATAATAAGTCTGCAAGCTATGTTGGCTAACAACTTTAATGTTCTATTTCACATAACTTACCGATATTTTATACTTATACAATCATATTGTTCAGTTTCTCTTACTATAAATATGTCTTTTTTTAACTATTTTGAGTAATGTATCAAAAAGTATTCTTCTGACACTTGGGGCCTGATTGGATATAAGATATCATTTTTTTGACTCAAAATCTAACTCAAATTTAACTCAACCCAACTCTCCTCAATATTATCAATATAATTAAATAATATTAATCAATCATCCTCACACATCACATCACCTTTTTAATTCACTATTCATCTATTTACATAATTCAATGTCCCCAGAAAGAGGTAGTATGCCTGCAGACCACTCATGCTAATGCGCTCTTTCCCCTTCCCTCTCTCCAACTTTTACATCACATCAACTTTACTCATTATATTTTAAGTATTATTTAAATAAAAACTCCAAATCCCACTCAAATCAAACTCAATTAACTTTTTTCAAAATTAACTCACTTTATTCATAAATCCAATCAAATCCAAAATAACTTATATCCAATCAGGCCCTTAAGTTTTGGTCATGCTGTCTTATAGCATATACAGCATCCACAGACATACAGATAGCTAAAGAGTAGCCACCCACTCTACCCAGTCACACATGAGATGGTGGTTTCCATCCAAGACAATACAGGGTTTTAAGCTCAGGAATCAATCACAAAATTTGCAAACCACATAACACATTTTCACGATATGGACCCATATCAAAGATAGTCAACATAAAATATATGGACCACTGTAGCAATAGAATATACCAAATATACAGATGCTACTGATCAAGCAAATTCAGGAAGTCCACAACCAATTTTCAGAATGTAGAATAGATCAAAAGTATGTTGAGAATGATCAGACAACGAAAATAATGAAGATATTAAACATAGAATGAAAAGAAACTGTACAAAGGTTGAAGACACTGACCAATTTTTGTGCGTAGTAATGATGAGAATAAGTCCAAAAAGACCGATGGACCCCACAATTAAATAGAAGACTAAGTTTACATGAATGCTAGTCTTCAATCTATCTATCATAGTAAAATCCCCAGCGTCTTCATAACCCTGAATGAGGGGCACAGCAAGCCTGCAGGGAGAAAACATAATGTTAATAGATGAAAATACTGATCATTCCAACAGAACCTGTCCACCTAACAGGGCACAGCTAACAATATATCCATAAATAACTTGACGAAGTTACAACTGTATAATTTTTTATTTGCCCGCAACGCTTAACAAGTTTGATTTACATTCATGACTACAAGTTATTAGAAACACTATCAAATAAAGCAATTAATGGCACTTAAAATATGAGTAATACGACAAAATTTAGTAACATGTTCTTCATGAAACTGCAAAAGGTCATACCATGTGAGCAGAAAGGTGCTCCAGTATGACCAACTCCAAAAGAAAGAGATACCGCCATTACCATGACCAACTATAGTCTGCAGGACAAAGAAGAGATTAAGATCCTTTGAAAAACTTCTAGCAAATCAAATAAAATAACTTTTTATGCTGTGACTGATATGATTCGACAGAAACAGCTGTGATGATGTGTTAATAAGTCATGGTGAAACAGAAGAGCAGAGGCTCATATTCCATATGCTGGTTTCAATGCAAGCTACACAAACAAATATGCTCACCAATCTCGACTAAAACTTGGTAAAAAATTAGTAGTTTGCATGATAATAATTAATAATGAACATGCTCAAACTTCACAAGATATTAATATATTAAACCATTTTAAGGCATACTTACAGGCAGAATGTTTAAGATTTCATGAAAGTAGATAGTAATGCTCCCAAGCTCATACATGGTACGATAAAATTCACTTAAAGTAAAATTCGCAGCTGGTGATTATAAGTTTAAAAACTTCTCAACAAAGATTCTCAAGTACTGCCGCCAATACATAGAAGAGTAAGATATAAAGTTACAAAACGAATTTTACGCATAACCAAGTCCACACATAATACTAACAGAATACAATTTGTCTTCCTTTTTCTAATAATATTCTCTCTGTGTGTGAGTGAATTTCCCCCATTTTTTGTACATAAAATTATATACTCTGGTGAGTGACTGGGTCAAAAATAGCTCAAAACTAGGTAATATAGAAAAAGAAAAATGAGGCTATTTTTGTGTGAAATAATCTCGTTTGGGACTCATCTTTTGTTTCCACCTATATTATATGTATATTGTTCATTGTCCATAAATCTATATTTTCGCATAATAGCTCGCCTGGCTTGCTTGCCTCATGCCTTGCCAAGTGACATACTAGTCGCCTCAGGGCACCTCATGCCTTTTTAATCACTTGCTAGGATATCCATTCAAGTTCTAGTATAGTACACATTATGGGTTTCAAGACCACAGCATAAATACTCACTTCTGATTGGAAAGAAAGACCACATAATAATAGCATCTCTATCCTCTATACAGAAACCTTTAAAAATAGAATGATTAATAAAATTCTAAAATTCTATAAGATAAAATTGGAGGTCAGAAAATTCTTCCAGTCAACCACATTCTTATCTCCTAAAGGTTAACAGCTGAAGCTTAACAAATCCATCCCAAGCTACTAGTCATTAATCTAATTATAAAATGAATGACACACTTATAAATGAAACAACAGCCCATTCTCTAAAAAATCCAGTCCTTTTTTTTCTATTAAGTTCAACAAGCAGCCAAACCAAAGGCAATGTGCATGAAACCTCTGAAGCAAAAGGAGTTCAACACATGGAGACTCATATTCACTGCCAGTGAATTAAGCTGACAACAGCAGATCACATTATTCAAAACAAGGTCAAGTGGCCAGAAGCTTAAATACTCAAACTTGACCGCAAACCCAAATCAACCAAACACACACTAAATTCAGAACTCCAATAATTCAGCAGCGAAATAATCAAAATCGAGAAATTTAACTTCGCAACTCACCGTCCAAATGTCGGCGGGAACAAGAATGATGATCGAAATCGAGCAGAACCAAGTGTATCCCACCGTGAACAATACGTAACGTGGCACGTCCGGGCCGGAGAAGTATTTCAAAGTCAAAAGCACCATGCCTAGGGTTAATGGCAGCGAGATCAAATAAAACACCCACATCTTGCTCTCCCCCTCAAACAAGAATTCGATAAGAAATTGAAAAAATAAAAAATCGATCAGAATTCAGATACAGAAACAAATTAGAGGGATTTCGTATTCCCCTTTATGCATGTATAATTAAGAGGGAAAAAACGGGATGTTGAAGATTGGCTGGATTGTAATTGAAAAAACCCAGTCAATTAACTTTCCCTTTGCTAACCAAACTGTTCTTAAGGCATTCATAGGTGGGCCCCTTAGTCGCTGAACAAATGGAATTGAAGAGGGTGTGGCACTACTCTGCTTATTGTCAAAACTTAATACACAAAATTGTATATTAAGAGGAGGGATGTTAAACGGGCTAGCCTAGCGGAGGGCTAAATGATCCAAGCCTAAAAAGTCAAGATTTAAATGGGCTATCAATAAAAGGACCTAACTCTAAACCTAGCGTGCTTCGGACTAAACGGGTAATAATAATAATAATAATAATAAAAATAAAAAATTACAACACCTAGTTAACGGTTTTTTCAACTGCTATTTAGTATTTACTACTATATATATACAACTACACTTCATATATGACACACATTACAAACTCTTAAATAACATATTGTTTCTCAATAGAAAAAAAAAATGTTCGAACTATTACTTATAACTACCATTTGACTAGTTATTTGGTACGATTCAGGAATTTTCACAATATAGCATACTCCTGAATTTATATTCTATCACTATATTCTATGTGTTAGGTCTTTGTCTCATTTATTTTTTATTAGCCGTTCTGATTGGCTTAAATATTTTGTCGTGAAATAGAATAAAATTTATTAATAATTATCTATCAAAATAATAATAATACATTACAACACATAATTACATGTCAAGTAGTATAACAAAATTTTAATATACAAGGAATCATGAGACATATTTCTTACCTTTCTAAAAACATATACACCACCCAACCCAAATTAAATGGGCTAGCCTAGTGGTTTTCGGGCTAGCCCTAGCGGGCTTCGGGCTAACCGGTCCGGGCCTAAAAAGCCCTGATTTGGTAATGGAAGAGATACGTAATGGAATTACATGCAAAAATTGACTTTTCAGAATCTTTGTTATATGTACTTCTTCCGAGGCGTTAAATTGTTTTTTGAAATCATCATACGATACCTAAAAGTATATACTCTATAGTAATAGCATATATGGTCGAGCACAATAGACCAATGAGATTGTAAGAGGATGCTTGGATACAAAAATTTTCAAAAAAATCCAAATATTTTTAACTCAGCCACTTTTTTTTAGCTCAACTTTAACTCAACTCCATTATCATCGATATTATTAATATAATTAAATAATATCAATCAATCATTCTTACACACCACATCAATCTTAATTCACTATTCATCCACTCACATAATTTTAACTAATCATCACTTCAAATAATCTCTCCTACTTTACATCAAATCAACTTTAATTATTCTATTTTAAATATTATTTTAATATATCTACTAACAACTAACAGTACCACATTTCTCAAAATAAACCAAACCAAACCAAAAAATCCAAACAAAATAAAAAAAAATTATATCCAAGATTATTCCTTTAATAAAAGTGACAACTTCATTCAAGCATTCAAAAATGTTTTCATCAAGCTTCAACATTTTCTTTTCATTGTTATTTATTTGGAAGATAGACGAACTATATAATCTATTGTTTGCAAATCATTGACCATCTTAGTTGTTGCAATAATTTTAGAATTGTTTATCATAATATCTTTCACATTCGTTTAGATTTGCTATATTTATGTGCTTGATAACTTCTCTAATAGTTTTATTGTCCAACTTTTTGCATCATATATAATGCTTAGAAAATTCAAGATAAAGATCCTTTCTTGATTCTTCAACAATGACAAAACAAAACAGAACAATGAGACAATATTGAGAAGCATATCATTTGTTAAAATATTTGAGAGGAGAATAATTAAAACTCTATTATATTGTGATACTGTTAGTCATCTGTGAACTTTATTATTATGAAGTCATTATTAAAACTAGTACGTAACCCGTGCGATGCACGGGATGTAAAATTTGGAAGAATAATATAACCTCACATGCATGAGGATCGAATTTGAAATCATTAAAATACATAGGAACATTGTTGAATCATAAAAAGTTCGGTAACAATCATATAATATTAAAAACCTCCTTGTACACAACATTATGAATTTGATTATTTGGTAACTCCTCATTATCACAAACTAATATTTTCAAAAGAGACAAATCCTAAAAATCAAACTAATATTTTTGGTGAACAAACTAATATTTTAGGATTGGTGAACAAACTAAAATTTTAGGATTTCTAGGATTTGTCTCTTTTTGGTGAACAAACTAATATTTTAGGATTGGTTATATGAATAAGGCTACCTGTTTTTGGTGTTCTTTTCATTCATTTTCATTCAAACAATCCGATGACTTGTATAATGAAATCCGAATCTTAAGCCGAAATATTTAGAAAAAGAGTTTTTAAAAATTGAAAAGTCAAGGCAATCAGTTCAGATTAATTAAAGGTCAAAGAATATCCGCTCCTTGAAATAAAGACGTGTGTTATCATTAACCAAATATCCGATTATTGATATAGAGTGGTTACCAAAAAATAGAACGCGGTAAGGACGCTTCATGGAAATATCAATGAGATAAGGTCATAACAGATCGCTAGACATTTTAACGATAAAAGCTCAGATGGAATGATTTATGATAATTATGTCGTAAGTAATGAATTAATTAAAAGTGTGAAAAGGACATAATTAATGAAAAGTGTGAAAATGACATAATTAATGAGAAGTGTGAAAAGGACAAAAACTTACCAGTTTTGGAAAATATTTAATCAAATCCGATATTGACCATAATTTGACCTACTATTTTGGATAAATGTTAATTTTTATTATATAAGTATAGATGGGATTGCAACAAAAGCAATCATGTAAATGTTTTTTTATTTTTTTTATACTGAATTTAATTTATTGGATAATGANTTTGATTATAATTTCTTTCATTCAGGAACCATATTTCGGATCTCAACATTCACTAGCGCGTAGCCCGTGCGATGCACGGGATGGTATATTTTCTTGAAATGTTTAACGTGTGAAATATTAAAAATAATATAATTTATATATATGTAACAAAAATAAATGGATTGCAAAGAAGGGAAAAAAATATAAATTATTGAACACTTTCTTTGTGAAGTAAAATTTGTGAAGCTTTGATATATTTGATTATGAATAGAAAAGTATGAAATACTACCTGCGGACCGTTGAGATAGATGGGAAGATTTACTTAGAATATATAGAATAAATATTGAGATAATGATTTACCTTTTACCTAGTATATATAAAATTAATATTGACATGATGTGGGAAAATTATGACGAATTATGACATAAATTCGTTTAGAAGTTAGTAGAAAATATTAAAAATTAAATTTATTTTTTATTTTTTAAATCCTTACAGTAATTCGTACGCTCTTTTTCATACGCTTAATTTATCAAGTTTACACATACAAATCAAAATTAATGCAACTCGAAATATTATATAACAAATAAAATGAGATTTTTTATCTAACATTTAGTATATTGCCGGAAAATCTTTTATAAATCTTATTCTCTTTTTATGCACATAGATATTAAAGAATGAGTAAAAAAATTATCTAAATATGTTTAAAAGTATCTAATATTATATGTGTTAACAATGTTACAACCAAAAGACATTAAGAATACGTAGACTATTATATAACATATGTGAAAGTATTAAAATATTTTATATTATTATCGAAAAATGTGAAATTACCTCAATTCTGTCTAGACTATTTTATAAGAAAAATATATATACTTAAAGTTAGCATACACACACATATATATATCCTTAAAGTTTGACCAACTAACATGTTTAAAAGTATATACAATTTTATATATAAAAACACGTTTAAAGTTTACATATTTTACAAAAATTAGACTGCTCTCAGTTTATACAAAGTTTGTTGCTCTCATATTCGGATAACGCATTTAATGAAAGCACCCTACGATACAAATTTATAAATATTAATTAAAATAATTTTCTAAATTATATAAAATTGAAGTAACAAAGGTAAATATTACCTGTTCATCATGAAACAGTATATGGAATGCGTTACAGCTCTTCGTGATGGGTTTCAATAATTCGGGTGCTCTCAGACGTAAAAAAAAGTCTGTTTCTTTTGTTAACGGAATCAAGTGTACCCAGTCTGGAAGCATTATATTGTATATGCGATGAAAAATTATTGTCGGTATTTTTTTTCTCTGAACTCGTGAATGATGAGTTGTAATGGTGGTAGTGAATATCCTTTTATACAATTTTTTATTAACCAAAAGTGATAAGATAATTATGGATTGTATTTGGATAGATAGTAAGTTCCATGATTTTTGCAACGGACAATCAATTTCACATATTTTTTATTAACCAAAAGTGATAAGATAGTTATGGATTGTATTTGGATAGATAATAAGTCCCAGGACAATCAATTTCACATGCTTAATTAACGGAAATATCACCATTATTAAAGAGAATATCCATTTGCTTAATTAACGCAAATTTCATGCTAAATTAACGAAATATCCACTGCCTTTTCACGATTTTGCTTCCGATTTTAAAGTAGAATACATAAATAGAAAGTCAAAAGTCAACTCAATTATTTTTAAGTTTCTAAAAAAAGATTTTTACATCAACCTTTTTAGATATATATAGATCTATATTATTTATTGCAAAGCTTTTAATTTTTTAATTATTTAAAATGAAAAATTGATAGTATAGGATTATAATTATGAGAATCAATTTCTTACGAAGTAATAAATCTAGTAAAAAAAAGTAATAGTTTTAAAAGACTTTTTGTTTCTAAATATTGATATTCATACTTCTTTAAGAAATTTACACGTTTTTTTTCATTGCATTACTATTACTATTTTATTTATTTTTATTCTATTGTTTGTTAAAAGAATTGAAGCATTATCAAAACCAACAAGTGCAACAATTGAATGCCCCAGAATTCATTCTTCAAACTAGACGTTGTCACGGGCCACCCGGCCCGCTGGCCCGGCACGGACCTAGCCCGGTCAAACCTGTTGACCACGGGTTCGGGCCTGGCTCGGATTTTTATCGAGCCAGTCTAGGGTCTTGTTTTTGTCGACCCTGACCCGACGGTCCGGTTTGGGTCCAATCTGGCCCGGGAAAAATACATTTTTTTTTTTTTTTTAATTTGGGTGGACCCAGACTGATGTTGGGCCTGGATCGGCCCGCTGGGCAAGGCGGGCCCAGGCCCGGCCCGTGTTTTGGCCACATTTACTTCGAACCGTCTATTGACCTTTAATCGAGTTTTGTAATCGGGTGTCTGTCTAGTAGACGAGTAACTTGAGTTTTTAAAATTACCGAACCCCATATAAAAAAATAAAATCATTTCACAACAAATTATTATATTTGGAAAAAAATTCTAAAATATATTTACAATATTTTTAAAATAAACAATGACATTTAATAGTTTACTAATATAATTTTAAAAAAAAATAAAAGAAATTATATAAAAGTGAATATTAAATATTTAAAATGACATTTAAAGTATAAAATTTTGCATTTTAATATAATAATATAACTATATTATATATGTATTGATCTTTTCTCAACAAAATAAGTATTATTTTTCATATATATAGTCTTTTTTAAATTCTACTATTATATTATATATATAGCCACATTATTATTATTTTTTTTCTCATTTTAAATTATTTTATATTGATATATTACATTAATCTAAGACGATTGTTCTTGTGTATCAGATTTTGTACGAACGATAACATATTAGTGTTAGTTTGCAATACTTATAACAAATATATAAAATATAAATTAAAAATTTAAATTCTTGATCGATTATTATTTCTCATGCTTAGGTAATTAAAAAAACTTAAATAAATATTTTTTTTGTATAGTACAATTACAACAAAAATGATAACAAGTGTACAAAAAAATAAATAAATCATTAACTAAAATTATAATAAATAATTTAAGTTTTATTCAATAACAAATGTCATGAATTTGTTTTTATATTTTTAACAAGCTTAAAATATAAATATAAATGTAAATGAAAATTTCAATTAATTATAAATGCTTGCGGTTAAACTAGTCGGACAACGGGTTTTCTTACTACCCAATCCACTCGACCTGAGATTTTTGCTATCAAATATACCTGAAACTCGATTATCCCAAAATTTTCCTCCGAATTTTTCCTATATAAAAATACAAGAGTAATTCGATCCTTCGAATTTTATTAATATTCACATTCACAGTGTGTAATTTTCTCTATACAAATACAAAACTTAAAAAATATGTGTAATATTTACCCATACTTATTGGGCCTGAAAAATGAGTATTACAAACCATGGACTTGAACGGCCAAGTCTTCCACAAACCCATTAAAACATCTCGATTATATAACAGGTCCAAAGCCTCATCCCAAACCCTAATTTCGTAACATAGGCTGAGCATTTTCAAAGCACTGAGCGCATTTTGCTGCCTCCTCTGAGCTGCATCGAAGATGAAGGTTTCTCTCTCCTCAATTCTCTCAAAACCCGCGGATTCATGCTTTTAATCTCTATCTATGAAAAATTGATTTTGTGAAGTGTTTCCTTTTTTTGTGCTATAGTTCAACATTGCGAATCCGACTACTGGATGCCAGAAGAAGCTCGAAATCGACGATGACCAGAAACTGTATGTCGTTGTCTTCCATTTTCTATATATAATCACCTATGCATCTGCCATTAGGATTTTTAATGACATTTACAGTCTGATTAATTTATCTATAGTTGCTTATGAGCTTTATGTTTACTGTGCATAGTCAATTGTAGTTTGAAATGCTTATCGAAGAGTAGTCATTGTTTTTTGCTTTCAGTAGCATTTTGTTATTGATAGATTGAGTATGAAGTACATTTTAGTGTAGATTAGTGTATATTCTTATTCGATTTCAAAATTATGTACGCTGTCTAATAATTTACCTTCATTTTATACTTGTGTAATCAGCTTAGATTTTTGCTATTTTTTTTTGCATTTCGATTTTGTGTTCTAAAAGAAAAGACCGCTCATTTATACCTGAATGTGGTTGGTTAACTCTATATCTTGATCTGCTATGTTTCTTCATGCCATCTTTTTGCTTTTTCTCACATCATTATGCTAAAGGCTTTAGATTTTAAAATTACTTGCACTGTATGTTATGCATAATCAATAGATCCTTATTTGTGGCATGTTATTGGTATAAGATAATGTGGGTTGGATATGCAACTAGCTCCCTGCATCTGAACCAAAAATTTAAGCAGGTTTTAATCAGTCAGTTTAGTCCATTGTTGTCTGCCACAAGCTCTGGTTTAGGTTGCATAGATTTTTGGTTTGGCATTTGTTGATTTACCTGTCCCATCATTGTGGTAATTTACTGATTTACACTAGTTCAGCTAGGTATTGAGCAATTTTGCTTATCACTGCTTCTTGTTATGCAGCCGAGTCTTCTGGGACAAGAGGATCTCTCAGGAGGTCAGTGGAGATGCATTGGGTGAGGTATGACCGTATGAGTTTTTCTTTCGAGGGAATCATGTTGAGTTATATAAATACTTACACCAGTTAATATGTGGTGATGCATTTGTGTAACATGGCTGCAATCAAATCGATATATTTCAGGAATTCAAAGGCTATGTTTTCAAGATCATGGGAGGCTGTGACAAGCAGGGTTTCCCCATGAAGCAGGGCGTGCTGACTCCTGGCCGTGTGAGACTCTTGCTTCACAGAGGTGTGTAGAACACTTGAACTTGATTCAATATATTCCTTTTCTGATCTTTGTTATTTTTAGTTTTACCAGTGATGTTCTCTGAATTAGAACTAATAAAATTTTGAAACAGGAACTCCATGCTTCCGTGGTTATGGAAGGAGAAATGGAGAGCGCCGAAGGAAGTCTGTTCGTGGGTGCATTGTTAGCCCCGATTTATCGGTTTTGAATTTGGTGATTGTTAAGAAGGGTGAGAATGATCTTCCAGGGTTGACTGATGTTGAGAAGCCGAGGATGAGGGGTCCCAAGAGGGCTTCAAAGATCCGCAAGCTTTTCAACCTTTCCAAGGAAGATGATGTTAGGAAGTATGTCAACACATATCGCCGGACATTCACCACCAAATCTGGTGAGTTTTGGTTGCTAATTTTGTTAGTTTTAGCATGATAATTGCATAGGTGACTGATCTGATATTTGGAAATTATAGATTGTGAAGAAACCCGTCTCCTTTTTGTGCTGAATGTAGTCATACTTCAATAATGTAAAGAAGTTGGGTCAAACCCATTACTTTACACCTTTATTTTATAAACTTACTCTTACTCTCTTCAACTCTTGTGATAATCGAGTGTATTCAATATTATTTTATAAGCATCCTACAATGTATTGGTATCTGCAGACCACTGAACCTTGTATTTATGCACGACAAACAGGTAAGAAGGTGAGCAAAGCTCCCAAGATTCAGAGGCTGGTGACCCCATTGACCCTACAGAGGAAGAGAGCTAGAATTGCTGACAAGAAGAAGAGGATTGCAAAGGCCAAGTCAGAGGCTGCGGAGTACCAGAAGCTTCTCGCCACCCGTTTGAAGGAACAGAGAGAAAGGAGGAGCGAGAGTTTGGCCAAGAAGAGGTCCAGACTCTCAGCAGCCGCCTCTAAACCATCAGCCACTGCTTAAAAACTCAAGTCCTTTCGAGTAGTGGCTTGTGGTGTTTTCTCTTGCTCTGTACGTCAGTTGCTAGAAATCTATTTGGAGTTGAGATATGATTTTGACTCTAGTTGAAAAATTTCTATTAATTCTGTCATTTTGTTTGTGGTGATGAGAGATTTTGAGGTGTTCCTACTTGTTATGTTGGATGTTTATCAGCTCAATACATACATTCAAGTATTTGCTGTTTTCGGTAGTCCAACTTAATGTGCTCTGATTTCAGCTCAAGATGAAAGACCTGTTTGTTAGTAATGTCATCATCTCAACATGCAAACATCATATTGCAGAAAAATTATTATCGCATTATAGGCTTTCAAACCTCTGCTTAAATGTACAACAATCAACATCTGTCGAAAAACAAACTGACCCCAAGCCCTAACGTTGGGCCAGCAACAACGGCCCATCATCATTAACCACCCTACAATCCCTCCTAATCTCACCCGGCCACCTGGACTGCAAATCCCCCAACTTAATCATCCCTTCCACAAACGCCTCAAAAAACTCGCCCTCATCTCGACTAAACACCCTCACAAACTCCCTCGTCTCAAGAGTCGTGAAAAGCGTCTGATCCGAGTTGAGAAAACCCCTTCCCTCCACCAAATCCCTAAAGTAACGATTGTCAAATCTCTCGGGAGTCGCGTCAAGATTGCCCGTGACCTCTTCATCCCCACCCTGCGGACAGAGCTTGTCGAGCTCTTCACGGAATTGCGGGTCGATGGTTGGGTCGGGCTGGCCCGAGCCCGACTGGTTGTAGAGCCTGAAGACTACAGAGAAGCATCTTGCCTTGCCGATGGAGTGGGACCCGGAGAGGGCAACGAGGTCTTTTGTCGAGAGGTTGAATTTGGCGAAGAGGGCTGTGAGGGAGGCAGCGTCGGCTCTTGGGCTTGGCATTATGTCGTTCGAGGCCTCTTGGCTGGCGGTTAGGCTGTCCAGTCGGCCCAATTTCACTTCCCAGTGTGGGCCCCCACTCTGCTTACAATAGATAATGAAGAAGAAGAAAAGAGAAGAGGAAAAGGCAAAAGAAAAGGATATCATATCCTGCTTTTCATATATAATTGCAAACAGAAATTTTATAGAGGAATTGGTAAACAACAACAACAACATACTCAATATATTCCCAACATGTTAGGGTCTGGGGGTCAGTTGTACGCAGACCTTACCCTTGTAATTATACAAGGAGGCTGTTTCCGTAGCGACCCAAGGTGCATTGCGCCGTTTAATATATATATATATTTTTTTTTAAAAACTTCACTAATAGAAGAAGCACTATAATTTAATTGAGCCATTTTGATCTAGTCCATTATTAGCACTATGCCAGGAGAATTGTCAACGATGACTCTTCCAGCTCCATTTGCAATGAACAATAGAGTAATTGGTAAAGAACCTCATAATAAATTTCACAATGACGAAGATACTACTGTTGAGGTTTTGGGTAACTCTATGGTTTTATAGAGAATGAAATGAAGCTTTCAATGGATTTGGAACTTGTGAGTCAAAATCCTAAGCAATTTTGAAAAGATCACTGCTTAGGAATAATTTGTGTTCTATCAACCGTGTGAAGTGATTTTGTTGAGAACACCCAAATAACCAAAATCCACTGCTACCTATTTATTTATTTCACCTCTGCAGATAATCTTTCTCAATCTTGTCTTGCAGCAAGTCTCATCCAATATAGAAATTTCATCAGCTTATGTATGTGTGTATGTGCGTGTGTATTGTAAATATAATAAAGAGATTTTAAAAAGTTTATCATGAAAGATAACAAGAAAAGGGAGAAAAAGGATAGATTACCAGAAGAACAGCATCTCTAGCAGCCATGATGATGATATCGGCACAAGAGACGATTCCAGGACACGTCCTCTCCAATGCTTCCTTAATCTCATCGATCACTTCGTAGGATCTCAGCGAATCTATGTTCGACAAAGCCAATTTCTCTCCAAGCATGTTCGGCGTGTCATCCAGTAACAATGACCCATCACAACCCTACTCCAAATTTAAAATTAAAAAAAATAATAATAAAAAAAATCCATTAATAAAAATCTCAACTTTTTCATATATATAAAAAAAATTAGAGTAATTTTACAAGTTTGTCATTACATTAACTAGACAATCATGGAACTGTAGGCGCATAACAGAGGCAGCGCTTCTAATTTCTCTGGCCATGGCCTGCCTGAGGACGTCCCGCGCGATGGCCTCCGCCTCCGGGCAGGTCTCCGAGTAGAAACCAGGGCGGAGGGCCGCCGGCGGCGAGGCGGAGACGGCGGAGAGGAGGAGGAGGAAGAAGGGAAAGAAGGGGGCCATACTTTTCTCGAGTAGTGTACTGTGGATATGCGTCATTGGGAATTGGTAAAGAAGAAAAGAAAAAGGAGTGTACAGTACTTACTTTTGTATGTGGCACCAAAAGTGAAAAGTTTGGCAAATTTTGGTGGGGCCCACAATCCTCGGTTTGTGTTTCTATCAACACATTTCAAGGGTTGGGCCGTTGGGGGGCAGCAGGTTGAGTGGTGGAGTCCAACGTGGTATTGCTTTCTTCTGTTCAAACACGTCTTTCAATTGTTTAAATAACAAATTTCAAGTACTACATTTTATTTTCTTGTTTGTTGAGTTGAGGACATGATAATCAAGATTTACATGAGCTTTTGAATTTTTCGAATGAACTTTTTATTAATGGACTTTCAATTGAATTGATAGCGTAACTTGATTTTGAGCACTTGTTTGTTTAGTTTGATTACTTAGATTGTACTTTGGTGTCGGCAGAAATAGAGACAACTGGATGGATGAGTGTGGGAGTTGGTAGTATGCAAATTGTTACATGATGAGGGGAAAGCTTTGATATGGGATGAAGAATTCAAATTTCAGTGTAAATTATTGTTTGAGAAAATTGCCTAGCACACTACTAAATATTTTTTTTATTACATGTTTACAATTTATATATATTTATTAGCGAAATAACGAAATCTACCCTATTTGCATAAATACCAGAATTTAAGTTTGGTCGTATTTATATTTAATTAACGAAAGAACGATTAATCTACCCTAAAGCCATCATTAACAAAAAAACAAATGTGAAACCATTGGCCCTTTCTACAAACTTATGTTGAAAGAAAAATTGACATAGTGATGTAGAGAAGACTATGAGTGTGAAGAATAAACTCGACCAATTTCTTATTTCATAAACAATTGGGGAAAACAAAAGATGGGGAATTCTTTAGCTCTCAAAAATCATACTGCTTAACTTGTCCACCAAGCTACTAAATATTACATAATAATATAATAATAATAATAAATATAATCCTTAAACTATTGAGACGATACGATAATATTTGTCGAGATATGCCAATGCAATCTCGTCAGCATCATTCTCCCCTGGGTGGAGAGAATTCGCCCTCTAATCCGCAACAAACTCGTCGGCATCAGGACCGACGTCAAGAAAAGGTGGCAAATGCATCACAAGAAAAAATCTGACGAACGCACATGAAAGAGAAAACGAAGACGATAGGTATTCTGAGTGAGCAGGTCGATGATTTCGTAGGGGCCGATCCTACGGTCCGACGACGAAATAGCCCACACAAAATTGCCCACTTCAAAGACCACCGATCGACCGTCCAACGATCTGAACAACTCCTCACACGGCTTGGCGCGAGAAAGGAATAAGGCTGATGACGGCGGTGACAAAAGAATCAAACGGGGGGCTAACGGATGTAAGACAATGCGGACGCCCGCATATAAAAACCCATACGTATTAAGGCGTATATCGTGCAACATGGATCGATCTTACTGCCAAGGACGCCCTAATAAGAGGTGCCAATCATCCATAGGCACTACGTCACACCACACCATATCCATATATGTGGAACCGACAGAAAAGGATGCCAACACGCGACAATTTGACAGCGATAACATTGTCATGATGTATTCACGTAAGAGCGTAAGGATCCATATGCGGCTTACTCAACAACCCAAGTTTCTCCACGGCCTCATTAGAGATTACGTTTTCGCAGGAGCTGGAATCAATCACAAAACGACACACCAGACCGCTAATGGTATACGTGGATTCAAAAAGATGGTGACGCAGGCCTTCACCATCGAAGGAGATGTGGGGGGACAAGAGAGACCGACGAAGGACAAGCGTGTTACCCACATCCCCCGAGACATGCAACATAAGAACCTTCAGCTCTTTATCGAAAATGGGAGGGTCATTGTAATCGTTGGACTCTGGCTCCTCAATAAGTAAAGCTCGTTACCCTTTTGCCTTCGGGCACTGTGCCTGACGATGTCTCGGTTCGCCGTAGGTAAGCGTCGGGCTGCCAACTGCTGCCCACAGTCGTGGGGCCAACCATACGACCATCAGATGCCACTCCGACACCCGGCTGAACCGTCGCTGCAGACGGCGCAGTAGCCGCAGTCTCAAGAGGCTCCTTCGTAGATGGTGCAAACTAACCGCCTGCCTTACGAGCTTGCTGCTGCTCGATCAACGAAGCTCGTTGATGCTCATTAGAAACGCAATTCGGGGTAAATAAAATTCAGTATCTCTTGGATAGAGACACGAAGCCCACCAACATAAAGCGAAACAAGCTGGTCTGGAGTTTTGCGAATATCAACACACGCCAGGAGCTTGTAGAACTCCTCGGTGTAGTCATCAACCAAGCATTGGCCTTGCCGAAGGTTCTGCAGTCGCTGATAAAGGGTACAAACAAAATTAAATGGGAGGAATTCTCGTTCAAGATACTTACGGAACTTGGTCTGGCGAGGTGATTTTCGGCTTGACTTGACGATGCCGCACGCCTTTGAACTGCTGCCACCACGCGCCCGCCTGACCACAAAGTTGTGTCGCGACGAGTGCTACTAGTCAATCGTTCAATACATCCTTGTACTCAAGGGCCGAATCAAAGGTGGCCACCTAGTCAAGGAAGTCCACCGCGTCTAACCTGACGGTGAATTTGGGTAAGTCAATGCGAAAGGCGCCATCCCATCGAAGGTCACCGACACCTCCTCGTCACTGGTCGAAACCTTGGGCATCACCAAGATCCCAGCCCCCGCGACGTCGGTCACCATGCTGCCCATGTTGGACACCACAGCCTGAGGCTGCATGGCGGTAGTCAAAGCCCAACGACTCATCGATGTCCCAACCCGCAGGCGATTGTCCCTGTCGGTCACCAAAACCGTTGCTCCAAAAACCGCCAAACCTTCGCGCGCCGAAATCTCAGTCCTGGATGTCGCCCAAACCCTTGCGCCGGATATCGCGATCCTAGGCACCTTGCTGTTGTTGGTCGGGAAAACATGGGCCTTTATAGGCCCGCCTCTGATCGCGGTGTCTGAAATCGTCCTCGCGATGGGCTGCGAGGCCAGCAAACGAATTTTCATTCGTCCATACACTGTCTTTGTCATCCGTGCCGCTCAAAGGCGGCGTGAACCGCTGCCGGGGCGCCCGGACAAAGTCTCGTCCTTCACGTCTTCCTCTGGCTCCCCCCCGATCGCCACGACCTCTAGCCGAGCGTGAGATGCACATCTTCGATCCCTATTGAAAGATCCGCAAACCGAGCCGTGAAACACTCGTCCATCAGCTGAAATCAATCATCGATCTGTTGAAACAGGTCGTTGACGACTGCGTCACGTCGTTCGTTTGCTGCATCTTGTTGTCGCGGCGACATCTTGAATCGTGCTGACTGCTAATACCAACTGATGTAGGGAAGCGTACGAGTGGGAAGGATAAAACGAGATTTCAATCTAAAAACACGATAAATGCGATCAATTTTTTATTTCATAAACAATTGAGGATGACAAAAGACGGGGAGTCCTTTAAATAAGGCTTTCAAAAATCCTACTCCTTAACTTTGTCTACCAAGCTACTAAATATCTATTACTATATAATAACAATAAGAAAATATATAAAATTAGCATGATAATTCCCGCTCAAATTTTTGGATTTTACTATTAATGGAATTATTTTTAGAATTTTTTTGGTTTCTCCCGCCCATGATTTTCTGAAATATATAGAATTTTTTAAAGTAACATAAATTATCTTTTTTATTAGATATGTATTTCATCTTATCTTGATGTTCATACTTATCTCAATTCTTTCCCTATTTTTTTTTTATTAATTTTGTTTGCTTTTTTTTGTGAGTATTGTTTTGATTTAAAATCCTTGATTAGATATTTAGAACTATTACCAATGGTAAAAGTCAAATAAATTGTCAGAGTATCCTATTCTAAATTTTTCCTATGAAGCTTGACAATTTTTTTTCTTTTCTATATTAATTTTTTCCTTTTCTAATATTACGTCTTTTCTTATTATTATTTTTTTTTTTACTTTTGACTTTCAATTTCTTAAGATGTTGGAAAATATTTTTCCCATTTCTATTTTAACATTAATTATATACAAATTAAAATATTTATCAATCTTTTCAAAAATGTGGAATCACTCTACTAAATTAAAAAAGAAAAATTTAAAGTACTCATAGTCACAAACCATAAACGTAGCAAATAAATTATATGATTATAATATCTATATTATTTTGAAATCAAATATTTCACTTAAGTTTTCAAACATTTCTAACACAATTCTAAATATATTTAATTTTTTTTTTTCAAACATGATATAATTCCATATGGTTGTATTGTTACAAAATGGTTGTATTTTTTATGGTTGTAAGAATTAATTTTAAAAACTGAAATTACCCACTCTCACCGGACTCAAACTCAGACACGTAACTTGCTAGACTTGGAGTGGATAAAATTTACGTGTTTCTGAGTAAATTGTATAAAAAAATTAAATTATTATATTCGTTTTTAAAATTTTAATTTAATTTTATTATAAATTGAATCATTTTATAATGTAATTTTTATTTAGCAACCTAACAATAGCTCAGCTATCCCCTCTTAATATAATTTGAAAACGTGTTGAGCCTAAATGGCTGCCTCGCATTAGGGGTGTTCACGGTCCGGATTGGTCCAGTTTTAGCCCAAACCATGACTAAACCGGACCTAACGGTTAATTTTTTTTTTTGTCCATAACCGAACCGGTTTTATTTTTTAACCGACCACAATCCGGACCGCATTGGACGGTCCGGTTTGGCGGTTAACCGGTTAAATCCAAAATCCTTGTTTTGGGCCTTTAATTTTTATTTTTTTCATTTTGGGCTTAGTTTTTATTTTTCAATTTTGGGTCCAAAAGAGATTATTTAGGCCTAAAAATTAAGAAAAATAACAATAATGAAATAAAAAAAATACACAATTCGTCCCATAAGCATAAAAATACACATTTCATCCCAAAAACATAAAAATACAAAAATGATGAAGATTAAATTATGCAAACTGAACCCAAGCAAACATTCATTTTTCAGTCAGTTTATACACCGGAAATAATAAGAGCAAAACATTCATATTTAATGTATTTGTCGGCCATAGTGAATGAATTAATGTATATATATATATATTTGTTATAGTTTTTTAATATTTACCGGTCTGGTCCGGTTAAACCGGCGGTTTGTCGAAGGTAATCCGTTAACCGGACCGGTTATTCCGGATTTTTAGAAAAATTAACCACTGGATTTTTTAAGGCTTTTTTAACTGACCATTTAACCGATCCGCGGTCCGGATTGACGGTTTTTTACGGTTATAACCGGACCGTGAACACCCCTACCTCGCATGCTTCGGAAGCTTACTTGGCAACATTACATGCTTCGGCTTTTGGTTCGAATACATTCCCTAATTATTTAAAATAAAATACTTAATAAATAAGATTTTTGCTTAACTCAATCACTCCAACTCCAATATAAACATAATTTTTATTTTTTATTTACCAACAAACCCTACCTAACACACAATTTCTCTCAAATTTATTTTTTCCCCAAAATCTTCCCACGCAGTCGCAAAAAATTTCTCAAATTTTGTGTGCCTTCCTTCATCGATTTTCACCATCCCCGTTGCCTTCCCAACGTGCTCACGCTCCCAGATCTGAACCCGCTCTGGTCGTGAAGCTCCTTATCACGACGACAGCACAGGTGAAAAAGATGTCGGAGCAGTTGAGAATCGTTATTTGAGTGCGATAGGGGAAACCCTTGCTAACGGGGCGTGCAAGGCTGTTCCATAACCGACATGGACGATGTACTGCAACAAGATGGAGTTCGGTCGCACACATGAGGTCAAAGAAATTTATTGTCAAATTCACATTTTTTATTCTATCTATCCATATGTGTTTGTGTCAAATTTGTATGCTAGGCCTGAAAGAGGAACTAAATAGTAAATAAGCAAAAAAAAAACCCATTCGATACCTGAATACCATCTGGCAAGTTCATAGTAGAAAGCATCAACACCGCATCATGGCTAAAGTTGATTTCCAGTCTCCAGCGTTTTGGTGCAACCTTCACAGGGACAGGAAGAAAATCACAATCTCGATCGATCAAAACATATACTCCGTACGAAAATTGTCGATTTCACAGAAAAAAATTATAAAACGACAAATCTACACAACAATCATCATAACAAACTAAAGATCAGATTTTTAATTTTATCAATACCAGATTTGTATCTAAAAAATGCTACTGTGTTCCTAGCGGCATTGATACACAATACACAGTTTATGGAAATTATTAATACACAGTTTATGGAAATTATTATCTTTGTTGTAACTTCATTTACTTATCTATGTTCTCAACATTTTGTATCGATGCTTATCAATGTTTTTCATGTAATTTATTGATTTTGTGACTTATTTGTGGTATTTTAGTATCTATGCTCCTTCATTTTTCACCTAATGCGCCAATGAAACCACAGGGAGTCGCGCGGAGGATGTTGATGCTCTCAAAAAGAGAAAGCATATTAGTTCCCAGTAATTATCTTTTGTTCCTTTCATCTTTCTAACTATTATTATTATTTACCATATATTTGAAGACCTCATGTTTCTTAATGACACGCTACAAGGATTTGGAAAGGCTATTCAGTGAAGAAAGGCCCCAAGTATGCTTCTAAAAGGAAAAAGGTGGCTACTGATTTGAATCGCGAAAATTTACAGAGGTAATCATGGACTTGGGTTTTGAAATGTGATATTGCACAATGAATGTGGCAGTTTAGAGTTATATATTGCTCGATAAATGATTATTCCAAGTCTTACCATAGTATCACTACTGTTTATTGGTCTTCTTTACCAATATTCTCTCATATGGCTAATGATACTTCTTCTACCATCTTGTTAGATAAATAATACAATTGATATTATGAGATATTCAATTGGGGCTGGAGAAAAGCTCCTATATTTTAAATTTTTTTAGGGGTAAATATGCTTTGAGTGTAAGTTATATTTGAACTAAAAGATTTGAAGTGCGCTAATGCAATATAAGTTCTGTTAATGATCTCAAAAAGATGGTGGCAGTAGGCTATTATCTTAGATTCTTAAATGAAATTTGTCTCTATAAAAAAAGTAAAAAAATCTGATGTTTAAATCTCCTGTTTTCTTTGAAGGAGTGATTGGAAGGAGATTGAGTTCAAAGAATATAACTTCCTTGCAAAGGGCCAGCCAACAGAGGGAGGCTGTCTACATCCATTGCTCAAGGCATGGCCATAGTAATATTTCATACTTTGTTGTCATTTGCGTCCATATATATCTGAACACACTGGCTTGTGATGATGCCATTTTTTGGTGAATGTGATGTGCCCATGTGTAGATACTTAATTTGTATCAATACGGATCGCTACTGATTGCAATTTGATTTGATATCATGAAGGTTAGGCACCAAATTCAGATGATATTTCTTCAAATGGGGTAAGTTGTGGCATGCTCAAATTCAGATACATATAGATCCTCATTTTACCATCCCCACAGTTGCCCCAAATTGCTGAAATTTTTGTTCATGGCATGTAGGTTTGAAGAAATGCCTACAAACAATTTTGTTGAAAGCAGGTATATCTCTTCTTTTGATTCTTTATTGACCTTGGTACTTGTCTGCCCTTCTGGAGATTATAATTGAGAGATGTTGATCATGGCCGAACAACTTTATTCAGCTTATCATTTATATTTAGATGCCGTATGATATAATAATCACATGATGATTCCCAAAACAAAATGGAACGAAATGGATGTGACTTTTAAGGATATAATGTGAAGAACCAGGAAAAGGCCGGCAATCCTGTCCTGAATCGAATTTTTGAAAAAGTTTGAAAAGAAACTAATGTGGCTATATCTCTACGTGGTATAAACTTAGTGTGCAAAATTACATGCAACTACTATGAATACTGGCAGTTCTTTCTTTCTTGCAGCTTCTGGAACTTTGATGCACTTTTCCAGCCACAACAGCATCCAGCTCGTGATTCACACGACACTTTCTTCTTAATAGGATGGAAAAATTGTAAATAAAACTATTCATGTTGTGTACAAAGAAATTTTTATACAACATGTGTTTTTTCTATTATTTTATGTTTTATATTTTTTTTTCAAACAACCCGTGTAGTACACGGGTGTCGTACTAGTTTATATTATACTAGTGGCTTAATTATCCAAATAGAAAATGGTTAGTCACCGTAGAAAATGGTTGGACTAAACATTTCTAAGTATTCAACAAGTATGAAAATAACTATGAAACGTGTAGAAAATTATTCATCTAAAATGTCTCATTATTTTCTATAATATTTTAACATATAATTTTTATAAATTTACTATATAGCTGCATAATAATATCACTTATAGTAAATATTTAGTTTTCATAATATATTTGTTATATAAATAATAAACAAATATTTGGAGAATATGAATTCATGCAAATTTAGAGAAACATTGGAGATGATTTGAAATTTTAGTGCACAAGCTTTATCAAACCAATGTAAACTATTGAAGATATCCTAAAGATGGTGGATGTGATTTGAAGTTTTAGTGTAAAAGCTTTATAAAACTAATGTAAAGTATTGGAATAACCTGCTCCTCCACTCGTCATTTGGGGATTTGACGAGTACCCCTAGACGACTGACATTCGTCATTTTTACATGCATTTTATAGTGATTTTCGTGATCGTTTCGTCGTAGTTTAATATATAATTAGTTATTATTTAATTAATTATTATATAATTGATTATTTATTTAATTAATTTTATTAAGCTATGATAAGGTGTTTTATTTGAGTTTTGATAGAAAATAGGGTCGAATTAATATTGGAGTCGAAACAGTGAGAATCGGTTGAAGGCGTTGTACGAGTAGTGCATTGGGACGGATTTAATTATATGGGCATTGGAGAAGGAATTGGTCTGTTGGGCCACAAACATCATTTAAAGGGAAGAGAGCCCAATACAAGCTTAGCCCAAGTACCAATTAAATGAGGGGCTCTTGTGTAATTTCGCAGTGCATGAGAATTGAACTCTCTCTTCATCTTCTTCTCACGCCATGTCCACCATTTTCAAGGAATCTCTGCACGTCCGCCCGAACTGGAGCCTCGCCGCCGGACCAAATCGCGACTGGAGAACTTACCTCCACTGTAGAATTTTCGCCGGAGAAGATGCATGTAGGAGCCGCGCGACTCTCGGGAAAGTGCTGTCATGCCGGGCTGAGGAGAGCTCGCCGGAAAATGGCCGGACCTCGCCATGTCCGACCGTTGCAGACCACCAGAAGACCCCTGCTGCAATATTTTTGCCGGAAAACCACCCATGGAGCCAGAAACCGCGCCGGAGATGCTGCTGTTAGAAGCTGATGGATGTGGCGGAAGGTGGCCGGAATCCGCTATCTACGACGAACTGTACACCTTTCGACAAATGGGGCGCTTTCGACAACCTTGGACGCCGTAAAATCGACCAGGAGCCACGAGACGTTCAGGAAATGAAGATTTGACGCCAGCGGCGGACGCAGAATTTTCTATCAGCCAGGGCAGAATTTTCGCCAAGTTCGGTGCTCTTTGAATTTTGACACTACAAGAATAATCATTATTAGCGACACTAATTTTAGTGACGACATTAATGTCATGACTATAAAACGATTATTGTGACGACATTCGAACATATAGCGACATTATTAGCGACGGTATTTTTTGTGACGGCATTCAAACACATAGCGACAAAAATTATCGCCACTAAAAACGATTATTCTTATAGTGTGATTATCGAGCTTACTTTTCTTTATAGACGACAAAAGAGTTGAAGAATCCTCTAAATTTGACGCCTTTCGATAGTACTTCTCCATTAATGTGCAATCAACAATTGATTTCAATTAACATAAGAATTTACTAAATTCAAACTTCAACATCCAATATTTATATATATATATTGTTTAGTTGAAACCATGTATAAATCCGCCCCTGGCACGTTATCTCCATTCTCCCCTACATTTTTTTTTTCCCAACGACAATAAAATTCATAAATCTCAGCAAAAGTCTTACAACTGGATTACCAAATGGTAACAAAAGAAGCCACAGGGGAATCCATCTGCACCCATTCAATACAAACAAGCTAAGAAACAAAACAACTACAATCAGAAAACCCTATCAAGCAAGAACACTCATACAAACCAACTAAACAGAAAAAGAACCTAACAACTGAAAGGAGCCTACAAATCAGTGAACAGGAAAAAAAAACAACTAAAACAAGGTTAAGCCATGAAGATACAAGAGGAAAAGGAATGGATCAAGTCTTAATGTCTGTTGCAATAAAATTATTCAACCAATAAGGTAATAACTCACATTATATACCAACATTTTACATTTATCAAATCAAATGTAATAAAGATTATTCAACCAATAAGTAATTACCTTCACTTACTGCCCTTTAATTTTGATGTCTTATCCAGATTGTTCCCAGTCAAGAGCCAAGCATCAAAATTCAAAGGAAGGATATCACCATTCACCATAATATAATTTTTACGCTAATAGTGGTTTTTATTCCGTACTAATTCTGCTCCCATATAGTGACCGCCTTATAAAAATTAAAAAAAAAAAATCAATATGAATACTTGAACATATAACACTTACATTAGAACTAAAGCGGAGAAATCTCGATCAAATAATTCAAGCAACAATCCCGTTCTCGTTCCCGTCAGCAGTCCTTGAGATTTTTTGACATTTAATAGAAACGACGTCGTTTGGCTTAATTTTTTTTAATTAAATGAAGGCCAAAACGACGTCGTTTATAGGCTAAGAAAAAAATGAAAAAACCTCTTACCAGTCATATCTTCTTCCCTCATTCTTGCGCATACAGATTTTTTATTTTGCCATATCTTTCATACAGAAAAACCTATCAACATAATAACATATACTTAGCAGTAAAAATTGAGCCTGGGCAATTGCCCAGGCTCGCCCTATTATAAATCCGCCCCTGCTGTTTGACGCTGTATTGAAATCCCAGACCAACACGGGTCGTGTTTCGACCAAGTCGCTCCGACGGGTCCCGTTTCGAGCTCTCGACTTTGTCACACGACTCGTGTGACATATTACACGAGTCGTGTGACCCTGGACGCGACAAAATCCGGATTTACGCGTTTTTCTTATTTTTTCGGTGTTTTCGACCTATTTCGACTAGGACTCGACCCAGACTATATATATAACACTTGGGCACGTTTTTTTAGGAGTCTTGGACATATTTTTCAGATATTTGAAACATTTGGAGGCTAGAAACACGAGCAAGACGAGGGTGAAAGTCGGGAAGAAAGGATTGACATAAGCTTTTTCTTTCTCTTTTTCTTTTCCTCTTTCGGACTCAATGTTTTATATTTATTTTCCCTATTTTGAAAGCATGTTTCTAGGCTAGATTTATCTTAGATTCTAGAATTTGTTAGTACTCGGATTAATTTATGATTTAGTTTTTATTTCTTTCATTCCGGTTTATCTTTCGTTTATAAATTTCTTGTGCTTATTATTATTATTGTGTGAGTATATGACCAATATGAATGCATATTTGTAATTGATTTGAGACCGAGAGGAGATAATTGATTGCTAGAATTGGGAGATTTATAACGTAAGAGAATAAACAGACCGAGAGGTTGATAGGACCTTGCGAGAGAACGAAAATCCTAGGAACTTATGTGAGTTATTTGTTCATCTTGAGACGAGAGAAGATAGATAACAATTAATATCTACGATTTAACTTGTTCGAGAGAAAGTTTTGAAATCAATTTAGCGATTATCTCTACAATTGGTAAACTTAAATAAGGCTTGTTTGAATATAAACGTTTCATGATTTAATTCCGAGGAACGCTTAGCCTAGAATCTATCGTTTGTATCTTGTTTTATTTTTATTTCTTAGATAAATTAGTTCTTAGTTTAATTTTTTAGTTTATAATCATCATCCAAATTTACTAGCCTAGATAATATTTAATCATCACTATTTTAGTACTTAATTAATTTAATTACAATCTCTGTGGAATACGACCTTACTCGCCACTACCTATAGCTACTCCGTACACTTGCGGATAGCGAAAATAATTAGCAAACAACGACGATGACCTCCTGGACAATGAGATGGACCAGCCTGACCCCTTAGT